TGTTAAAAAATTGGTAAGACTACGAAGGAGATTCATGTGTAAGTTTCAACTAAAAAAGGACACAACTAATTTTCATATAAAAATCAAAAGTTAATATTTATTTGTAATGAATAGATATCAAATTTGCTGCTCAGAGACATACATTTTGGAATTTTTATCTACAAAACGGTATATTAATATTTTTCTGAAATGCTGCTATATAATAAGTAAAAAAATCGTTCACCTGGAGCGAGTGTAACACAATGAGGTTGTTTTGGCCGAAACGTTTATTTCATCGTATAGTGGTTTTCCATAGTTAATACTTCGCGTTAATATCCATTACAAAAACATAGTTCCTAATCAACATCATCAGGTTCTATAGGTTACCCGTCCATATCAAAGAGTTCCATACAAATGTCCTAGGGCAAACTTGGCCAGGGCCGCTTCATCGCGGAGAAGGTCCCATACGGGACTCTGCCCGTCTCCACGTCCGGCTCCCAACTCCCAACTCTCTCTAGCTACTCGATCCCAGACTAACTTCTGCTGGCTATTGTCTTAGTATAAATAATACCCAAATACTTAATTTCAGCCTAGTCCCTATTGGACAACAATAACACAACCCACGGAGCATCTAATTATGAAGGCACGTGCGACTAGGAGTACCCGTTATCAAGTTCCATCTTGGATCTACCTCATACATTGTTTCTTATCTTGTTTACTTACAAATACGCGAGGCAGACATGAGAGAACATCTACCTATTCAGATCACTCATACCGGCGATATTCTGCCACGGTGTTTCAACACTGAGGTGCACACCCCTCCCGTTATCAGGCGTGCATCACTACCTGTAACTCAAGGTCGCTAAGCCTGGTCCAGTGCCTGACTTATGACACCTGTTGTTATTGCTCCCTGAGATACCTTTTGTACTTTAATTTCTGACCCAAAATGTACTTTTACTATCCATTTTGTTACACGAGAAATCCGTGAATGCGCGACGCGATATGTCCTCAATAGCTACAGATGTAGTTGGGCACCATGGAAATGTATAGTTTTAACACATTTCAATGGATATGAGACAGTCCAAGATGCTATTCAACCTAACATATGCTTCTATGAATCTAGACAGTTGTTGCTTGTGTTGAACTTCAAATTTTAATGCTATTAGCTTAAATGCTAAGTAATAACATAAAGGGATTGGTTTAGTTGTGCGAGTCCTGAAACCGGATTCAGTTTTCATGTGAATAAAGGTAAGGCTACAGCCTATGAATATAGAATTTTGCAAATGGTTCCAGTTTTCTATCGTAAGCGGTAAGATATTTATTCTAGTTGTGCCTGCATGTGTTGTGTGTTTCTGGATGGAATATCGAGGTTGTACATTTACTGCGTGTTGGTAGGATGAACGAACGAGATGTGTTACTAGTACGCCTTTCATTCTAAAACACGGCTTGTCTGCGCATGCTTGTGGCCACGTTTCCGTTCAATGATAGTAGTGCACTTGATGATCTCTTTTGCGTTGTAAATATGTATTTTTAACGATGTAACCTCAGTGGCGATTCGTTGTTTTTACCACTCATACCTATTTCTTGGCAGTTTTCGTTACACTGGCCATTTATCCACTGGGTGGACGATGAACTTTTTTGAATTGTAAACTTACTTTTTATGATATGACCTCAGTGGCGGTTCGTTTATTTAAACATATTTTATTATCAATATTAGATAAATGGATCGTTGCTCTTACTATTTATCAATTTTAGATCCTGCTCGGAGAGTGTGGCATGTTTATGGTTTTACCCTTTTAAATACCTATTATAAACGAGACGAAAGGGGCCTTTTTGTGGTTTAGCAGTGAACCAGATGGGCTGGCATACGTTGAACATAGTCTTTATTAAAACCAATTTACCAACATCTATATTTCATATTACTACTCTTGTTATGTCTCCTTACAATGAACTGTCGTTGATAGTGTTATCTGGTGACAATGCTTTTATTATTATCATAGTCTGTCTTAATCTCCCTGTCACACTATCTACTACACCTATCGACTAAATAATAACACTATACTTAAATTGGATGCGCTCACTCACTGGTGCCTCGATGGAGCGGCGTTTAATTAATTAAACATTGAAATGTTTATTGTATATACATATATACATCACATTATCACTTACAATTATCCTACCTCACATTATCATTAACAAATGTCATATTTCAAATGCTTCCTTGTACATTCGTATCTTGACTTATGCTATCTTATTTTCTAATGCGATTTTACAAAAAGTGTTTTACAGTAATATCCTCGCAATGCAAGAAATTAATAAAACGAGAGATAAAACTAATAAGACAAAAAACTCTGAAAAACCTAGGACGTCGGCGCAGAGCCAAACTGAGTGCGAGCGAAATAAAACAATTTGCTTTTTATTTATATTTTACCAATACAGTTGAAATACATAGACAATTCCATGAATAAAATTTCCAAATATTCGGCATCGAGCTAAACAAAATGCACAAAATGCAGGCATGACAATTAAAAGAAAAACTTTGCTTGTATCTTTCCCTTTTAAAACCATTTAAACACAGATGTAAAAAAAAGTTTACCGTTCGCTGTGAGTTCCAAGGCTAGAATGCCCGCTCTATTACACGTGTCTAATAATTCTACCAACCTGCACGAGATTCTTGTGCATCTTGCATATTCATCACATGAACTACCTGAACGTACCAGAACAGACAAATATTTCCCGCTCTACAATGGAGATTCTTAAAGGCCCATCAACACATAAAAGGTCAATAGGGTCATAAAACTGTTAAATACACAGCGATCCAAAAAGGAAAAGATCATCAAACAAATTAAAAGGTCAAAGACAAATGCTAAACATTTTAGATGGTTAAATTATTACAAAAAAAAAAAAAAAAAAAAAAATTTAAGTCATAGGGTATAATACAGACCAATCTTGAATTTTATTAATCTCAACAGTTTCAAAAAGCGTCTTAGACTTATAATGTTACGATTAAAAAATCATCGAGTAGACAGAAGGTCAATGCAGTCCAATAAAAAAATGTTTAACGATGAATGACCAATCACATCCTATGCACCGAGGATTATCTTCGCCTTTTAACATATATAAATGCTTAAGGTATGTATGGCCCATCCGAAGACGGTCAAGGACAACTTCGTCTGGGTGGTTGTCTATAGAATGGTGACCATTCGCTAATGATAGGTTTTACGGAGTGCAATTTATTGTAGATCAAAATTTAAATATTTAAAAATTGTACATAAAAATAAACACTGTTCATTTTCAAAGATTCATCTTACAAGATTCAATTTGGTATCTTAATTTTAATTCAATGCTCATCAAATGATAACCTTTATTGGCTGAAAAATAATCTATTTCCAATATATATATGTGTGTGTGTGTGTGTGTGGGTGTGTGTGTGTGTGTGTGTGTGTGTGTGTAAAAAGTACCTGTCACACTATCAAGTTCCTTGCAGAGAGCGACAAGTACCTGTCACACTATCAAGTTCCTTACAGAGAGCGACAAGTACCTGTCACACTATGAAATTCCTTACAGAGAGCGACAAGTACCTGTCACACTATGAAATTACTTACAGAGAGTGACAAGTACCAGTAACACTATGAAATTCCTTACAGAGAGCGACAAGTACCTGTCACACTATGGAATTCTTTACAGAGAGCGACAAGTACCTGTCACACTATGCAATTCCTTACAGAGAGCGATAAGTACCTGTCACACTATGAAATTCCTTACAGAGAGCGACAAGTACCTGTCACACTATGAAATTCCTTACAGAGAGCGACAAGTAACTGTCACACTATGAAATTCCTTACAGAGAGCGACAAGTACCTGTCACACTATGCAATTCCTTACAGAGAGCGACAAGTACCTGTCACACTATGAAATTCCTTACAGAGAGCGACAAGTACCTGTCACACTATGAAATTCCTTACAGAGAGCGACAAGTACCTGTCGCACTATTAACTTCCTTACAGAGAGCGACAAGTACCTGTCACACTATGAAATTCCTTCATAGTGTTTGAAAAGTATTATTTTATCACTATTTATCACCATTTTCAACCCATAAATGTCAAAAACACGTCTGAATTGCTGGATGTTATTAATGGTTAATTTCACATGCATCATTATTTATCCTCGCAGAAAAAAACATTTAAAATATATTCGTTTTTTTAAAATGATTTATCATAAAGAATTGTCAACACTTAACGGTAAATATCTATGTATGTCTGTTATCTACTATCACAGCGCCATTTAAAACTGTCTCCTTACGTATCATTTTCAATATGATCATCATTCTAACAAACAAGGTAGTTAAAAGAATTTATAAATAAATATCATAAATAATTAATAAGAAAAAGGAAAAATCATCCGACAAATAAGCTAAATACAGAAGAAAGACATGTATTTTAAAAGATATGAGAAGTGTCCTCTAATATCTCTGTATAAATCGTTGTATCATGCGCTGGACTTTAACTCGTCCACTTCGCTGGTAATTACGTTTATTGAATCTAGTCTGATTAGAATTAATTTGAAATGAAATAGCAAAACTCGCGAATTCAGAGAAATTGACGACTGAAAAAATCAGAATAAGCAAGAAAAAATAATTGCACAAGATCAAATCACCACAACAATATTTATTTAGTTAAATGTGCGCAACGACTTTGATCTACGTTAATCAACTTGTTATTCAGAAAAATTAAACTATTTTACCATAACAAAGGATTTTTAACAAATAGTCACCTGGACAGAAAGGGCATTTCATTAAGTAGCATCACGATGATAGCTAATTGTTTTAGAAACGAACTTAATCAACAAGATGTTATTTGAAAATAAATCTTTGAACCGAATTTATCCGAATTCCATATTGCATATAATACATCGGTATGAGTGATTGTTTTATCCATACAAATTTAAATTCATGAAAGGATAGTTTGCATCAAATATTAACTCCGTTTGACAGTTCTGTTTACAATTTGTGCAATAAACCACTACACTTGTTCGCATATACTATACTTCTTCAATGTACAAGATATATCCAATGTTTGACCGAGATCTGACCTTAAAGTCAAGCAGTTTGTATCACCGAGTGAGGGGGCACCAAGTTTAAACAGATCCATATTCACCGCCGTACTGTCAGAATAAACCCAGGTACCGTCTTCTGCTTCGTCCGTCCCGTCAACATATACTTGCACATTTAGGTTCACTAAGACTGTGTTGATCTTGTCGATGGTGTCGAGTTTGGCTAATTTACCATTCATGGTGTTACAATGAAGAATGGCGTCCGCATAAGTATTTCGCTGAGAATTTTCAATTCTGTAGCAGAAGTTTAGACTTTCTGCAAACACATAAAATGTTGTGTCACATATAATACAATTCATTGATAGTGTTGACCATTGTCCATCTGACTCACATGTCGTCTCCGTGTCTCCCTTGGCTATTAGTCCAGCTTGACAACTGTATGAAAGGACCGTTCCGATAGACCTGTCATTTGAAATAGGAGTTGTAGCATCTACTACAATGGGTGGATCTCCACATTCGACTGGATTCTGACCTTGAATAGTGGTCAGTGCAGCGGTCATCTCCGTGGCCGATACTGTTGTGGATGCTAACTCACTGCTGGTATTATTTAATGTAAACCAAGAAGCACACTCGGATGTTCCTGTGGACATTTCTACACACACCGATGACTCATCACAAGAATGACCAACACAAGACTTTAAAAGTTGTCCTTCAAACTCCATCAATATCGTTCTTGTTGATGCTATTTCCTCCTGATTGGACGAAGTAGTGATATATGTGTTGTTATCACCAAGGTAACAGTTCAAATGCTCTAGGTTATATGCCACTGCTTTACAATTTGTCCGTAACAAACACTCTCTTGAACACTGCTGTATGCCAATATGTTCAAATACCAAAAACGCTTCTTGAGAAAGACTTTGTATTATCTCAAATTTGTTGATAATGTCCTGACATCCCTGGCAAGTAATCATTTTGGCATTACTCAGAATTATAAAAACACCAATATATATTAAAAAATCTCTTGTCCTTTCCATTGTTCCTTGTAGATACAAAGTGGCCACCTAGCCAAGTTTATGCTATCTATTTATTGGTACCTAGCCGCAACTGAGCTATATTGATTAAATAAAAAAACGCTCACCGATGGGTGATTAATGATCGAAACACTTGCAAGTAACCCAAACGTGTATTGTCTGTAGTCATACAGCTGACTGGAGATGTTTGACTGTAACCATCACAGTGTTAATTAAGGTGGAACGGTTGACGTACTGTGAGAAATAAAAGGTTGTACACAAGACACACAAGTGGAAGTGCACCGTTCTACATGCAATAAAATAGATTGGTACGATATAATGATTTAAAATGCATAATACACTTGTTTCGTCATTTTAGGACTGTCCGATCAGTTTCGGAGCAAACTACTGAAATACTAGGTTGCAGTGCTTCGTATGTTGTGTTACAAATTTAGGAAATTATGTTAATGTTTCAATGAACTATGAAATCGTTGTTTTGGAAGAGAAATTTCATGTCAGTATTTAAATCTTAATTGATGAAATTCTGTATACAGGCCGCGGTATCCTGTCTCTCGGCGCTCAGATGTTTAGAATGCGAAACGAGGTCACGTGACGCATGACGTCAAAGTCTTTTTTCTGCAATGATGATACTCTATTCACCAAATAAGACACTACTACACAGGTCACACCTTTATTCATTTACAAACGTTCAAACTTGTTTTAAATTGAAACCCACCTTCGTATATAGTTTTTGTTTACGTAACGATATATAACATGGATTTTTTTTCATGTTTTTGAATGGAAAGCAACCAACAACTGGACATATAACATTAATCTTGAACTCCTGCTCAGTGAAAAATACACCCTGTTTGCTTCAGAGTTGAAACATTTTTTTTTAAATTAAAAAATAAAAAAAAACAATGATATAAAATTGTAAATGCAAAGACATTTTACGTATTTCTATCGGCCTCGTTGTATACTGATGGACAACAACTCTCGACCATATGGCGCTAGACTCTGTGAATTGGTATTTCCAAGCAGAAACTATCCGGACCATGTGGACGGGCCTAATCTGTCATCCGACCTTTACCCGACGCGTGGTCAAATGACAGGAGCTTGCTGATGCTCTTTGTCAAGTTTTTTGCCTTATGGTAGAAATACATTTACTTTAGAATGATCCCTAAACTTTTGTGACCTGAATATATGATAAAGGAGAAGTGCCAATTTAGGCTTTCTGGTGGCCATGACGAATACTTTTTATTTTTTGTCTATTAAAACCTTGAGGTCAGACGGTAATGACTTGACATTAATCTAAGGTCAGCTCAAGGCTGTTCAGTTGTTATAGGGTCACGAGTGGGGGATAAAATTCATAATTATTGCAATAATTATCAAATTAAAATATTTTTTTTAGTTTTTTTCTCTTAAATGTCATTTGATGATATATTTCAAAACCTTCATTAGAAAAAATGACCAAAACTTATGCCATTGTTGAAAAGTAGGTCACGGTAACTAAGTGCCCTAATTACTAATTAAGTCACACTTGAGCACCGTTTTTTGTCTTAATGCATCTATAAACAATACGTTTATCACGTGCAGTGTATTTATTTGAAATACTTTTGTATGAATAGGAGCAATGAAGAAGTTACAGTCAGGGTAAGAGAGGCATGCCATTTAAATAGACTAGTTACAATTTAAAGTGCAAGAGCACTAGTCACTATCTTATTCCGGTTAATGAAAATGAATATTGAATTATACTGTATGAAAAATTATTTCAAATAATTTTCACAGTATAATAATTCTTCCGTGCATTAGTTGTATTCTTGAGCTTTAACATAAGATGGTTTGACACTAGAGCTTTAACATAAAATAGTATGACATCATGACATCTCCCTGATGTATACCTTGTTAATGGTCTTGTTTCAAACACTAGCAAACTTCAGTAATCTACAATGCAGTGTATGTAACACATGGTATATCCAGATATATAAGTATACTTTGTTCTGTGCAGTTCGTACATGTATTGACTTATGCACATATCTTGTGTATCACTAAAATGTTAAATATAATTTCATTCATACAAGAATGACATATATGTAATAGTATTATAGTATTTTGTTTAGTTTTTATTAACTTTTTGTTATTTTTGTAAAATGCTAGTACACAAACAGTGTACTTGCTGCAAAGCAGATTATGAAGTCAGAATAAATTGTCTGAATCAGGCAGATGTTCTGTCTTTCGTGAAAGATAACATCAATAAAGATTTATGTTTAGGTGACCCTGTATGTAAGAAATGCAGAGGGAGATTCAACAAACACCATGAACCAGTAGAGCATTCTAACAGTGGTTTAGACCATCAGAATGAGACATCTGACTCTAAAAGAATCAAACTTGATATTCCACGAGCTACGCTTACTGAATCGCGATGTTTCGTTTGTGGAAAGTCCAGAGATGAAAAAAGGTGTACAATCTTTGGATTGAATATTCAAATGGACTGACCCCAATATCAGGCTGATATTGTCAATGTAAGGTTGAGGCCAGAGTAGTCGGCTGCTGTGCCCACATTGCATCTGTCCTATGGTATCTTTCTTATGACCGACACCAGTCTGATACTGCACGAACAACTGCCTCCTCAAGTTTCCTTAGTTGTGTTGATGACGCAATGACGGTGGAGAACTGTTCAGATTTTGACAGCGACAGTGACTCCTAAATGAATATCCCAACACCACCATTCCCCTTACTAAAGCAGTAAACAAAAATACAATCCTGTAAGTAATAGACAAAGGTCATTTATAATCCTGTGAAGCCTGGTGATAATTTTTTTTCCATTATAATATCACCCATATTTGCAAAAAATATTTCAAATAAATACAATGCACGTGATAAACATATTGTTTATAGATGCATTAAGACAAAAAACGGTGCTCAAGTGTGACTTAATTAGTAATTAGGGCACTTAATTACCGTGACCTACTTTTCAACAATGGCATAAGTTTTGGTCATTTTTTCTAATGAAAGTTTTGAAATATATCATCAAATGATATTAAAGAGAAAAAACCTATTAAAAAAAAAGATATTTTAGTTTGATAATTATTGCAATAATTATGAATTTGATCCCCCACTCGTCCCCCTCTATAACAACTGAACAGCCTTGAGCTGACCTTAGATTAATGTCATGTCATTACCGCCTGACCTCAAGGTTTTAATAGACAAAAAATAAAAAGTATTCGTCATGGCCACCAGAAGGCCCAAAATGGTACTCCTCCTTTCGGTGTGCGAGAACCAGAAGTCGGTGTTTCGTTTACATTTAAAGTTTTCATATCTAAAAAAGAGTCCAACATTTTCAAATATTTTACGTTTTCATTTTGCAAGATTTTGAAAGTACATACTTTAATAATTTAAATGATAATTAAATAATTTGGAACAGTTCGTGCTTATTGAAAAAAATATGATTAAATAATGCACATTGTCTTACACCCATTGCTCGCAGTACTCCGTCACATCACAGGCCCTAGGGACCTTTTCCTATTTTTAAACGCATGCCCTCAAGGTGCTGCACAAATCACCAAGTGGAGTTTAAATTTGTTCTTTGGAAAATTATCTTGTTATTGAAAGAGGTCCTTTTCTAGATTTAACAAACAGGAAAATTGTTTGGTTTCGATCGAACTTATCTGAGGCAAGTGTGGATTTCCGACGGAAAGTTGTTTCTGATCGGAATAGACTGTGGCATAGTCAATCGCTATACATGTATATGCATATGCATATTCGGCAAAGATAAAGATGACGATGAAGCACAGTAAACACATATTTTTGCATTGGGTCTATGGTCTATGTATCTAACATACAGAACGGAATTTGGCAACAATTGATCAGTATTTTTGCTTTACAGTTTTACCAACTGATTTTTTTAATAACATTTGAATTCTAATGATTTTGTTTGATCACGAAAAAAGGTCTGAAATTAAAGATTAAAGAATACATCATGCCTACCTGTACAGGTTTAGAAGATCAAATGAAATTACAGTAACATAGATCAGATTTCAAATACATAGGGTGTTGGCCAGAGGAGATTACTGCAGAATTGTCATTGGAAGGGAGGTAACTCTTTCATTAACGCTAAAACACTATACAAACGGTAGGTAGACTAAATATAGAATTACTGTAGATTATAGGTATTACGTCCAGGAACACTGTTATAGTTATGTAGTGACTGTTACATTCACAGTGTAATTTATAAGTTCTAGTAATAGGTCATGATTTCGACCAAAAATAACTGAGAGTTCTACAGCCCTTCACGTGTGCCTGGCTTGATCATACCAATGTTAAACTGAAAGAATACAATCCAGAACTCTTCTTCTCATCAATCAAACAATCAAACTAAGCAGCCCTACCAAATATGTCATACATATCCACACAGCTTCCATTCAATTTTGCCTTATAGGATTAGCTGATGCTTTATACACAAAATATATGTATCCGTGAATTTGATTGGTTAGTACGCTTTTACGCCGGTCAAAACATTTCACAGGATGTATCATGACAAAGTAGTTTAATACGGCTGTATTTGAAAGAGTTTCTGTCCTTTGTTGGTTTCATTATGTGAATCTCCAATATCAGTTTTTGACTGATTTCATACAAACATGGTATGTAGGTTTAACCACCATGACAAGGAGTTGTGTTTTATCTGAATGGCAGTGTGAATCAAACTTTGATTTCACTTTTTAAAAAAGAGGTGCTGTCCTTGCTGTTATCCAAAATGTCTTACGTCCGCGGTCCGTAGCCCGTGGTTCATCCGTGGTATGGACGTTCGTAAACTCTTATTGTTGTAGGTATCCCGTTAGACGTACCGAATGGATCTTTTACAAAGTGCAAGTATAAATGCCCCCTGACACGTGATGGGGGCACTTATGAGTCCTGAACTGATCATAAAAACAGAATGGCTGTCAGGCGGCTATTTTTCATTT